TACTGGTGGTCGGGTATGAAGAGGGATATCGCAGAGTACGTGAGTCGATGCCTCACTTGCCAGCAAGTCAAGGCGGAGCACCAGCACCCGGCAGGGCTTTTGCAGCCATTGACCATTCCAGAATGGAAGTGGGAGCATGTGACCATGGACTTCGTGGTGGGGCTACCACGAACAGTGAACAACTATGATTCGGTATGGGTAGTGGTTGATAGGCTCACCAAGAGTGCACACTTTTTGCCTATCAACATTACTTATCCTCTTGAAAGATTGGCAAAGCTATACACGGAGGAGATTGTGAGACTACATGGAGTCCCAATATCCATTGTCTCGGATAGGGACCCACGATTCACATCTCGATTTTGGCCCAAGTTTCAAGCATCTTTGGGTACTAAACTAAAGTTTAGCACAGCTTTTCATCCACAGACGGATGGACAATCTGAGAGGGTGATACAGATATTGGAAGACATGCTTAGGGCGTGTGCTCTGGAGTTCCAAGGGAGTTGGGACAAACATTTGGCTCTAGTTGAGTTTGCCTATAACAATAGTTATCAGGCGAGTATTGGCATGCCTCCATACGAGGCATTGTATGGGAGGAAATGCAGGACACCGTTGTGTTGGGACGAGGTTGGCGAGGCCAAGCTCGAGGGGATTGAACTCGTTGAAATCACCAAGGCTAAGGTGAAAGTCATTCAAGATAGACTCAAGGCTGCTCAAGATCGGCAGAAGAGTTATGCCGACAAACGACGAAGGCCATTGGAGTTCGGGGTCGGTGATAAGGTCTTCCTAAGGATTTCTCCTTGGAAGGGTATCATCCGATTTATATCGAGGGGAAAACTCAACCCCCGATACATTGGTCCGTTTGAAATCCTTGAAAGGATTGGGGCCGTGGCATACCGTCTCAAGTTGACGCCAGAACTTGAGAAGATACACGACGTGTTTCATATATCAATGCTCAAGAAATACGTGAGAGATCCATCTCATATTCTTGAGAAGCCACCGGTGGAGATACGTGAAGACCTACAATATGCGGTGGAACCGGTAAAGATTGTGGGCCAACAGGTGAAGAAACTGAGGAACAAAGAGATTCCTATGGTAAAGGTTCTTTGGAGGAGTGATCGAGTCGAAGAAGAAACCTGGGAGACTGAGGTCTCAATGAGGGAGCAATACCCGTTTCTTTTCGATTAGACACGTGGATTTCGGGGACGAAATCCCAAATAAGGGGGGGTGAACTTGTAACACCGTCCCCAAATGTATTTACTTTTAAAGAGAATAATGTATTGAACTCATGGAATGGTTAACGAGTATTCGAAGTTGTGAATTTTTATTAATGTTTTTGCGTGAATAGTAAATTCGCACATGGGGCCCGCACCGGGAGCGGGGGCCGCCCGATATTCCCGAAACCATATATTTTATTTATCTTGGTCAAGATAATATTTATATAGTGGTGGCTACTTCTTTTGAACCATGGAAAGGTCCAGAGTTGACCGATTGGTCAAAAGAAGCCCAAATACCGGTATTGACGATTTTACCGATAAATGTCCGAAATTGAATTTCGGGGACTTATAAATTAAAGTTGGGGAATGAATATTCATTATAAGGTTCATGTTGGTTAAAGAGCATGTAAAATATTTTATTTGACCCGATAAAATAAAATATAACAAAAACTGTCCGAAAAATACAACTTTCGGGACCGATTGTACACTTCGGGACAAAAGGGGTTGACCTCCCACATGAGTGGGGGCCAACCCACGATTTTGGCCACAAAATGGAGGCTGATTTGTCTCAAACAAGGTCTGAAAACCTTGAGATGATGGGGGAGACCACTTTGACATCCTAAGGACCCCATCCTCACTCATTTGGCAAGAAAGCCAAAAAGAACATCTCACCCCTCTCTCCCTCACCCCCCATCTCGGCCAGCACCCAAGAAAGAAGCAAGAGTAATTTTCCATCCTCCATTCTCCATCTTTGAAGAGAGCTCAAGCTTAAGGGTCCAAAAGGAGGTCTTTGAGAAGGAAAAGTGAGGAGAAAGTGAGAAGGGTTAAGGTAAAGACCTTATATTAACTTTTCCTTTATTTTTCTTCTATCATATGAGATATATATCATATGAAGACCCTTGAGAATGGTTCCACACGATTAAGTGTAGAATGATGGGTTGGAAAGTGGTTCTAGGTCCAAGAACGGATTTAGAAGTCAAAACGACCGGGTTACCGGAAAATAACCTTTAGAGGTTATTTGTATTGATTAAGGTTTTATGATGTTAAAACCTTGTTAGGGACTTGACTTAAGCATTTTTGAACCTCGCCGGAGTTTCGCCGGAGTTGGTCAAAGTACGCCGGAGTTGGTCAAAGCTTGCCGGAATTAGTCAAAGTTCAAATCAGGGAACGTAAAACGCGCTTAAGCTCACTTAAGGTGAGGATGACCGACTATATTGCTTATAATTATCGGGTTAATTTCATAAGATTACCTAAATGAATTATATGTGTTTGGCATGATTTATTTATAATAAAAAGATGCCTAAATGAGATTATTATTGTTATAAGTAAAAATGCATAATATACAAATTTATGAACAAATTGTGTATGATTGTGTGTTATGAATACAATGACATCATAGTGGTGTAAACTATAAACTAAATTGTGATAAATATACTTTTACCTCATGTAAGAAAGTCATGGAAGGATAAAAGTAATATTTTGATATTAGAGCCAAGTTATACTTGAATGAGTAATTTAATTGAAATATCCAAATTGTTATGAACTCAAGTTACATTTGGAGTAAGCCTTAGGGGTTACTCAAAATGGATGGAACCTAGACTAAGAAGTGGTTTAGGGATTAGTTGACGTGACTATGAGCCGAGCTCTAGCACGTGGTAGGGTGACTATGAGCCGAGCTCTAGCACAAATTAGTATGACTATGAGCCGAGCTCTAGCAAGCGTAGGGTGACTATGAGCCGAGCTCTAGCACAAATTAGTATGACTATGAGCCGAGCTCTAGCAAACGTAGGGTGACTATGAGCCGAGCTCTAGCACAAATTGATATGACTATGAGCCGAGCTCTAGCATGGAGGACATGAGTTAATCATAAATGAATAACATCTTAGAGTGAGGGTCTTGGAAATTGAAACTTTGATTATACTTAGTATAGTTGTCATTGTACTTGTCAAATGCTTCCAAGTACTGACCTCCCCTTCACGGGGGAGGCCACCTCACAGTTTCAGGTAGAACTTGAAGGTTGCTACCACTGCCCGTTGCTTCGGGAAGATCAAAGGAGGGAGACGTGGTTCGTGCTTCTTCCGTTCCTGTTTTGAAAACATTTTAAAATAATGCTCATGGATATTATTTTTAAATATTTATTTGGGGCTTGTATGCCCATGTTTGCCAAAGTGTGGCATGCACACTTGTATTGAATGCTTCCGTTGTTTTAAGTGAATATTTTACATTATGTTGTTTATGGATGTACTATGTGTGAATGATATTCCAGACGCCTTGTATAATATGGATGTGTTGGACTGCGGTTGACCATTCGTACTGTACGGCGGATTGTTGACGTGTCCGGATAGGTCCGGGGCGTGACATTATGTAATAAAACTGACATCTTTATACGTTTAATGTCATGAAACTGATAGTTGTGGCATTTTTCTAACACAAAATAGCTATGATATTCTCATATTTGAAATTAATCAAAATTGATAAATACATAGTATATAAAAATTCAAACTCATTTCTTTCACTTTGTTGTTAAATTGGACTCTTCATCTGAAATTTTCAAATCCAAAATTTTATTTTGGATTTTGAAAGCAATAACATTAATTGACAAAACAAAAATAGAGAATCACGAAGAAGAAAGAAGTGAAGAAGAAGGGAGAAGAGAAGATGAAGAAGAAGAAGAAGAAAAAAAGAGGAAGAGTACCTGATCGACTTCGTCAGAGAAATCGCAAAACACATGTGCGGGCTTCGATGATCACAGAACCGCAACCAATGGCAGAGAAGTTGTTGTCCTGGTTCGTGACAGATTCGCAGGTGAGGGGCTGCAATCGATGGAGGTGGCGGCCGATGGGGAGGGAGAAATCGCAGGGGTTGGGAGGAGAAGAGTTGATCGATGACTTTTTGGATAACGGGTATAAATGTAATTTGGAGTCCTATTTAGGGGATTTAATACTTAAACTCCTACTTTGGAATTTTGAGCATGTTTTAGTCTTATTTGGGGCAATTCCTCATGTTATTTTTTACTTCGTATTTTTATCTTTTTATATTCTTTTATACTCAGTATATCTTTCTTATTTTCTTATGTTATTTGATTTATCGATCTCTATCTTATTTTTTTATATTATTCTTATCTTTTTTCCTTTTTAACTCTTTTTTTAATGATACAGGTGTCGGTGCTTGCGGTCCCCTAGTCACGGAGTCTATGAACTACCCTTCAATGCCCCTAAACAGTTAAATCCAGATCTGATCATAGTCAGCCTTGTCGGTATTGGTTCCACAGGGCAGATCAAGTAGGACTTCCAAAGCCTGTCAGCCCGCATAGCCCAGCCATCCAGGGAGTCCTCCCACCACACGAATCTGCAAAGCTGCATTATCATCCTCTCCCCTCTTAGCCGCTGAGCAACTCCATGAAGGTAGGAAGAATCATTGGGAACAAGACCCCCATCATCTTCCCTTTGGTGCATAGCGGGTTTCGAACACGAGACCTCACATATGAACTGGTAGTTTCACAACTAGTTGTGTTGGTATGCTCGTTTCCTTTTTAACTCTGATATTATGAATCGATTCATGTTAGTATGGGCGGAGTTAGGGGAGAGCCATCTCTGGCTCTGGCCCAGCCCAAATTTTAAAAATGCCTGTATTTTTAGTGTACAAAATTCTATGTAAAAATTTTTAATTTTTTTTTTTATGTATCGACCCAGTCCGACCTAGTGCTCTAGATCCGCCCCTACATGTTGTGACGCCATTTTTTTTTGAAATAAGGTTTGGAGTTTGGTTCTTGAATAAAGTAGGACAATAACATTGGACGTACGTGAGGAGTCTGGGTTTCGCCTTTTCGAGGGCATCTTTGTTCGATGGATCAGCTATGCACCTATGGCTACGTCTTCCTGCACTAACCAATAAGACGAGGCTAATAGATATGAGTAATAATTAATTAATATTGCGTGTGTGATAGATATGGTGGAATAGTAGAGTAGTAGTACGTCCTGATGTGATTAAACAGTGAGTGAGTGAGGCCTAGCCCTTATTAGCAGCTGCTGCTGCTGCTTCAATACCTACCTACAATTCGTTCATTCGTTAACGATCTTTAAGCTTTCATTTAAGCGCAGCTGGATCGGATCGGATCGATCTTTGATATCCGGGCGGCGATGGAAGACCTCTGGGAAGACATCAACCTCTCCTCCCTCCACCACTTGAAGCCCCCTGCCCCCCACGGCGTCGCTTTGCACGAATTCTTAGGCCGACCCTTCGCCGCCCAAAACACTCCGCCGCCTCCCAGCCTCAGCCTATGTAGCAATGTCCCGGAGATCCATTTCTCCTGCGGACCAGCTGATGCCCACACCTCTGTCTTGCCTCATCTTTATTCCGTTTCCCCTGATGGCCGCCGAATCGCTGCTTCATCTCCGGTTTCCAGCGGCCGGAGGAAGAGGGTTCACCAATCACCCAACACTCCCGCCGACCACAGGCATAAGCGGATGATGAAGAACCGGGAAGCGGCCGCTCGCTCTAGAGCAAGAAAAGAGGAAAGTATTCTCTACTCATGCGTACACTCTCATTATTCTCTAATTTAAGCTCATTTATTTATCACTTAATTTAAGGAAAATAATCCTAAATATTAGTAAATTTCATCCCTAAATGCACAAATAATATTATGAGGTGAAATTTATGAAGTTCTGGTTGGAGTGGCTGCATTGCCTGATTCTACCGATTTAAGAAAAAAATATTTATTAATAATATAAAGAAAATATTATATGTAAAAATAAGTAAAGTGATCGTCTTATTTTTTCTGCCAATACAGCCAGAAAAATAACTTCGTCTTATTTTTTCTGCTTATTACACAATTCAGCGCGCGAAAGTAAAAATTGCGTGTTTGGTAAAAAATTGGCTGATAAGTTCGATAAGCCAACAAAAATAGTATTGCCAAACGGCTTCTATATGGAGTATTACTTATCTTCTCAAAAGAAGACTAAAGTATATTTTATTTTCCTATTACATAACTTCATTGGAAGATCATACTCCGTAATTTAATTTGGGTAAAATCATAAGAATTATAAAAAATATTTTAATTCATAATAAAATTGCAAAAAATATAGAAAAAATATATTTAAAACATTATATAATAATTTAATTTAAAAAATTAAAAAAATTCAAAAATACTCGATGCATAAAACACATAAAAATATAAAAAATTATTGATGTCTTTGACACAATCCCTTCCACCACCGATTGGTAAACAAATTCCATTCTATGTAAAAACAGTCATTTTTTTGGAAATGCTATTAAGATGATATTTTTACTTTTTAAAAATGTCATTTTTTTCTCCAAATTTGCCATCAAGATGATACTACAGACACATGTTATCATTTTTTTCTGGTGGTCGCAGATGGTGGTACTGGAAGATTATTAAGGCGGCAACAAAAGTCTGCACATGTTTTTATTTATTTACATTATGTTATTTTTGTTTTAAGTTTTTTACTTTTCTAATTTTATTTTTCTAATTTTTTATTTCTATTAATTTTATTTAATATTAAGTATTTAGTTTCGTTTTTTATTTATAAATAAATTTATTTTTTTACATTTACGCTTTAATTATTAATGAAAACTGAAGTATGTGACATGGGACATGTATATACGCAGTTTGTACTAACGTTCGTATAAAGTTTGTTTGATGAGACTCTATATTTAGCGGAAAATGAAATTTGATCCTCTTTTTCATTACTATATATCACCTATTTGTTTCAATAGCTAGAGTCTCATAAATATTTTAAAAAAAGAGTTTAAATTTGACTTTTGTGATAAACTTATACGGAGTAATTTGGAACTAATATGTAATTCACTATATTAGGGAATCATCAGTTAGATAAATGTTGGAGGTGAACAGATGAGATTCTAGGATACACTTTCGAATATAATTAATTACTTCATCGGTCCCTTAAAATTTTGCAAATTTTCCTTTTTGGATGTCCCACTAACTTGTTGCTTTCCATTTTAAGTAATGAATTTGTGGTTTGAGTTAGTACTTTCTCCTCTATACAAAGATTCATTATTTTTTGGCTTGAGAATATGATGGAATAAAGCAAAATGACTCACTAAACTGTCTGTTGCTTCTTTGTTATGAAGCAACGGTCAGTCCATGTAATTTTGGGCGCGATTTTCACTATGGGTCATCCGAGAACAGTCTCCATGTGCTTTAGTACAGAGGTAAGACTACGTACATCTGACCCCCATTACCCAACCGTAGGTGGGAGCCTTTGCGGCACAGGGGTAAATGAAAATGAAAATGATATCTTCGTGCCGGTCAAACTTGTCAAAGTTTTAAGAGACGAAAATAGTAAGATTTAACGGTTGAAAGTAATTATCATAGAGAAGTATGTATGTATGGATAACATATTGGTTGAAAGTAATTATCATAGAGAAGTATGTAAGTATGGATAACATATTGACATGATGTATGTACAAAAATGCAGGCTCATACAAGTGCGTTAGAGCAAGAAGTGAAACTCCTTTTGAAAGAGAAATCTAAGCTCATTGAAGAATATCAAGAGGTAAACAGATCAATAAGTGATAGACGAAACCGGCAGCCATTTTTGTCTTTTATTTTTTTTTATTTTTTTTTAGAATTATCCTCTTAAATCTTACCACTTCCATCTCACAAAATTCTTCTCTTACCATTTTGGGACCATTTCATCATTTTCATTTACCCTAGTGCCGCAAAGGCTCCCATATACGGTGAGGTAGGGGGTCGGATGTACGCAGTCTTACTCCTATACTAAAGCATAGAAAGACTGTTTCCGGATGGCCCTTAGTGAAAATCGCGTCCAAAATTGCATGGACTAACTGCTGCTTCATACCGAAAGACAGTTTAGTGAGTTATTTTGCTTTATTCCATCATATTCTCAAGCAAAAAAAATGAATCTTTGGCTCCATTGCAAATGAACCCCACTTACCTTTTTGGGATGTCCCAAAAATTCTTCTCATTTCCCTTTTTGGAAAGATTTGTGTGTCTACCATTCATTTACCTTTTTCTTACTCAACCACAACCATACATTTTCACTGTACTCTCACTTTCTTAAACTCCGATCCAAGCCAAACCGGGAAGAATTTTCCGGGACGGAGGGAGTACTATTTTTTAGATACATCGGAGGAAGTACTATGTATTACAGAGTATAATATCTGTTCATTTTTTCCCTATAATTAGGAGTAATTAGCAAGTGAATAACACAATACATGTAGCGCGGATAGCGCCAAAAATCAGAATGCTTTTTTTTTTATCATCAACCACCATCTCTAATTAATTAATAAAATCGTTTGCCAGATGGCTTACAATATAATGAGGAGCTATATCAAAGGTACTCCTATGATCTGAGAGAACAACGTGTGCTTTAGCCAGTGCATGAGCTACACGATTCGCAGATCGTCTACAAAAAGAAACACTATAATTATTCTTTGTTGTCAAAATTTCTCTAATGTCGTCCAGGATAAGATCCAGATAAGACAAACCTCCCTCTTGCTGAATACCCTGAACAATTGAGAGTGTGTCTGTCTCGAAAGCCACTCTCTGCCAGCCCGCTGTGATCGCCTCCTGAATAGTCTCCCTCAACCCAATCGCTTCTGTTTCCGTCGGTGACCATCCTGCATTGGCAGACCCTCCTCCCGCCTTAATGAAATCCCCCTGCTCAGTCCTTGCCACCCAACCCCAGGCCCTTTTGTCACTATTTGGCTCCAGAGCAGCATCAACATTTATTTTAATATAAAATCCCTCCCCGGTCTGCGCCATACCTGCACATTCTCACTGGGCTTTTTCTTTGACTTAGCCCCTGGTCCTTGGGCCATCCTCCAATTAGTTATCATGCTCAATGCGTTGCTAATGACTCCTGCCGAACCTTGCCACTCATTTTTCCTAACAAGAGCATTGCGCCGCTTCCATATACCCCAAAATAGGGCCACAAACTCTCCTTGTTGCTCTCTGCTAGCATGTGTGAGTTGATGCTTAATCCACTCCTGCACTTGAGTCACTCCACTAGCCTGTTGCCAAACTTCCTGCGCATAAACGCACTCCCAGAAGGTGTGTTCTAGGTCTTCGGAGCCTCCATTACAGAGATGACAATTTTCGCTGATTTGCACGCCTTTTCTACTTAGATTATCAACTGTAGGGAGCATTCCATCCAGTACCTGCCAAATAAAATATTTAAATTTAGGAGGTACCTCAAGTGCCCACAAGTTAGCCCAACTACTTGTTCCTCCGGACGGGACTGTATTGACTAACTTCCTGTAGCAACTTTTAACAGAAAAATTCCCATTTTTCTCCCCTGTCCACCAGTAGCCGTCATCTCTGTCCACTTTACTAATCGGTATGCTTAAAATTTGATCTCTATCCACCGCTTCAAAAATAGAATGAATCCTCTCCCTATTCCATTCCCTCCCCGTATGGTTCCTCAACGCTGCCACATTCATATCTCGGACCCCAGGGGGTTTGGCTGACTGGATTCGCCCCGAACCCTGTCCCGGCAACCATGCGTCTGCCCAAACCTGCACATCTCTACCATGTCCCACTCGCCTGCGAGTATTATTCCTCAAGAATAATATTCCAGAATGCTTATATAAGCTGTTTAAAGAATAAACGGAGTATATTCCAAAAAAAAATATACGTAGTATATATATACGGAGTATACCCGAAGCTATATGGGTGAAAGATTGATTTCCATCTATACTTCATCGTTGAGGTACTAGTTAGAAGCGGAAAAGACAGACACCCAGAGCTAGCTATGCTTCTCCGGGCCTCCGGCCGCACCAGATCGAGAGTAGAATTAATTAAACCATTGTATCGCCGAAATTAATTAATCACATAGACCTAGACACGTATCATAGTTTATTAATTATTATTGCTCCCTTAATTTGTCTCGTATTGATCGTTGAACTTTGTCTTATTTTTAGGGCACCTAGCTAAATGGTGTTTATCAAATCAGTAATTAACCGAACAAAACTCTCACTTTCTCCCATGATTTAGTTAGTTTTTCCCCAAAATAATATTTAATTGGTAAGTTTAAATAATTTTATTTGATAAATAAATTAACAAATAATTTATATGGACTAATTATTTAAAGGGCAAATAAATTAAAAAATTAATAGTTTTCCCTTCTAAGAAAAAACTTTCAATTTGGTCCTCATACTATCACGAAAACGACAATTAATTCCTCATACTTTGAAAAAAATCAATCAAACCCTCCAATTTTGAAAAAATATCCAACTGAGTCAATTAGCAGGTTTTAACTCTCACGTTGGCTGGGCACCTGCTGACATGGTAGTCCATGTGTGCGATATGTCAGCAAAGTAACTGTTGACAGGGAAGTCATGTGTGTGCCACGTCAGCAAAGTCATTGTTGACTCAAATGCCATGTGTGCCATGTCACAGATGACTTGGTGACGCGGCGGGTAACCTGCTAATGGACTCCATTGAACAGTTATTAAATGTTTGAGGATTATATTGATATTTTTTAGAAATACGAGGACTTAATTGACGTTTTTGTGATAGTACATGGACCAAATTGGAAGTTGGACGTCAACCACCAACCCTAAACTGCCAACCGTCAACCGCTTACAGTTGGATGCCGGACAAGCCTCCACTAGACGCTCGGTTGCTAGCCTCCAGCCGCCCACACGCCGCATGTCTCAAGTCACCCGCCTTTCTCCAACCCCCAACCTCCTCCCGCTGCCCCTACCCCTATTCCTTTTCCCTATGCTTCTTCTCATTCTTTTTCTCCTCCTCCTACTCCTCCTTCTCCTCTCCTTCTCTTTCTTCTTCTCCTTCCTTTTGCATTTCCTGAAAATTGGGGTTGGCGATCTTCCCAAAGAACGCTTCCCGTCAACCGCTCCGACAACTCAGATTCTTTAGCCAAGGCCATTGAGGATGAAGATGAACCGGAGATTGAAGACGAATGCAAGGTTGAAGATGATTGAAGACTATATGGGCAGTGAATCTTAAGATAGTGAGTAGTGAACACAGTGAATAAATTTTTTTAATGCAATGAATAATTTTTATTCAATACAGTGAATATAACAAGATGTAATGTAATGTAATGCAGAGCATTAACGCTGACATAAAATGCAATATATTAAATAATTAGCCACAAAAACTAAAGTTCTCAAATCTAAAAAGAATAAAAAGAAACAAAAATTCTTAACATGCAGTAACGCCGACATAAATCGCAGTATATTTAATCCGACGTAAAAATTAAAGTTATCATATCTAAAAAGCAAAAAAAGAACGATAAGTTCCTAAAATTTTTCGTAATGTCGTGCCGTTTGTGTTCATGAAGTACAGTAATGTCGTGCTATAACGTCTGCAATAAAGTGCAATAGTTTAAAATTGACGAAAGAAATTTAAAATGCAATTTTTTAATAAGAGTATTTTTGCCCCTCAATATTTAAATATGACGAGATTTGTTTTGGCTTTTCAGTGATATGTGTCAAAAACAAAGGAAATCATATTTAATTGCATATTTATGACAAAATAAACATTGTTGACAAATTGTGACTAGTAAAGTTAAGTTTATGTTTATTTTATAAAGTTAAGTTATCATGACATTACATTGTAGTAAGAATAAATCATATTTTGTAAATAGGTTTTATTTTGATAATATTTTTGAAAAATCCCTAAATTTTTATTATGGATAATTATTAACTAACTTTATTAATGGTGTGTCTTGAAATGGATGGACAGCTGCGTATAGAGGCAGATTCCCACAAAAACTGCAAGCTTTGCAGAACATCATCTGCTCCATTCTGAAAAATGACTGGATCGAGTAATCTCCGTCGTACGTCTACGGCAAGCAGCACAATAACTGGCCGCCTATATTACTTAAATTAGCAGCTCAATGTAACTGATCTAGGGGTCAACAATTCTTCAACAGAAATTTAACTGCAGTGGTAATTGTTTGTTGACTAGCTCTAGCTAGTACCGGCTGTAGTTAAGGAGATTGACCATGACCCGTGGGATGCATGTGCACATTTTTTTTCTTTTTGTAAAAGAGAATAATTTTTAGCATCCATAATTTCTTTTGTCTATGACAGAGACAATATTTTTTAAGTACTTCCTATGAAAAACAGTTCTTTAAAAATGAAAAATTTGTTACCCGCCGTGTAACAAATAATTTCTATATATTTGTCCCTTGTTAAAAATTTCTATTTACCTGCCGTGTTAACTCCCTAGTTGTCCCTTGTGCACAGGTAATTTGACCGCTGTGTAAAAATGTCGTGTATTACTATATACACGAAGCATAGTAGTATAAATAATCACCATGTAGAAATATTATATTTGTATGCAAAATTATAATTAACTTGTACTTTTAAAAACACTTCTTTGTTGTCTGTGTACACACATAATTCGTTTAAAATAATTAGTAAATGTATGTCAATTGCCTGTGTACACAAGTTGTATACATATTATGTAGAAATTTTGTATACAACAAGAAATTCCTTATAAATATTGCGCGTAGACGCGTAGTAATTTTTTTTTGTGTATTATTCAATTATTATGGTTTAGACCTTTAGCCCTTTTTTTCATATGCGGTGATGAACAAAATTTGGAGGTTGACACATAAACTTTCTTTGACAGCACTAAAGTCATTGTGTGTCTCAAGATAAAATCAATACTTGCACTTATACATAGTATATTGTGGTAAAGTTCGTATCCAAACAATGAAAAATGGTTACAAATACAAACATGCATAAAAAGAATTCCACACTATCATCCTTCGTAAGATGACGATGAATGGAATCATTTTTGACATCTAACTCATGAATAGACCAATCAAAAGAGACAACTAAAGTGAGAACAATACGAAGTGTGGTAGGTTTGAAAACAGGACTAAAAGTTTCACGAAAAACTATATACCAGCCTGCTGATTAAAACTTTGACCAACAAGATGAGTTCTGTACCTCGCAACAAAACCACCAAAACGATATCTTGTCTTATAAATCCACTTAGATACACTTATATTTTTAGAAGAGTCAAAACAAACCAAATCACATGTGTGATTAATAATCAATGCATTAAATTCTTCTATCGTAACCTCTCCATTTAAGATCTTTATTGGCACTAGAAAAACGGTTTGGATCACATGTCATTACATTTGTATTTAAATTAAATATGGCTTTGAGTTTAAAAATCTATGACTTTGCGCGAGCCGCATAGGTTGAGTATTAAGCAGAGAGGATTGCAGAGGATGGGGTTTGGTAACGGAGATGAGCAATGAGCATGCCTCTGTAGAAGGAGGCAAGGATGGAGAAGGTGGTATGGACAATGGCAAAGATATCATGCTGCCCGCATCCACAGGAGACAGGCTGCTGCAACCATAAGGCGAGGGCAAGGGAGAACCAACGTCAGGAGAAGACGCTGGCACAGCTGGAGACTAGAAAGAGAAAGGTGGAGTGAGGGCGCATGGCGCTTGTACGGTAGGGCAGAAGGGAGGCGAGGAAGTCAGTGAGTTGGCGGCAAAGCTAAGGCTTCAAGAAGGCAGAAATGCCCGCATCTACATAGGGACAACTAACGTTTGTGTACAAACATTGGTTTGTTTGATGTGTTGCAGACATGACAGAGTTTGATTGCATGGAAACCAATGTGTGTGCATAAACAATAGTTGTCTGAGCACAGATAATTTGTACAATTTTTTTCTATGCTTAACAATTTTGTCCGAGAACCCATGGACTAAAATGTGTCTATATATAGACATTTTTTGTCCTTGTGGATTTTTACAAAATGTTACAGACAATTTATATCATTTTCCAGCACGACACAAACAATATTTGACATGTAAATCACACAAGATTTTTTTAGCGAATATTCTTGCGGCTTTAAAACTTTTTATTTTCCAATCTTAGAAGATGGTAACAGTAAAGACAATAAGGTGATGAATATGGTGAGGTTAATGAAAGTGAAAGATGATGAAAGATGGAGATGGTGAATATGATGAAGATAGAATATGCGGCTAGGTGTGAAGGTGATGAAAATTGAAGAAAAAAGATGCAAGAGGGAGAGGGGGAGAAAAGTAAATGGTTGGGAGAGATTAGACTAAAATGTACTCCCTCCGGTTTTTATTAAACTTCACACTTTTCTTTTTGGGACGGTCTAAAATAAAATTCACAATTCCTTATTTCCTTTTTTGGCAAAGAAATCTACATCAAAACAGTGTCAAACAGTGCCAAACAGTGTCTTAACAGTGCCAAACAGTGTCTCAACAGTGCTAAACAGTGTCAAACAGTGCGTCAACAGTGTACTCTACAGTAAAGTCAAATTTCTTTCCTTATTTTGTGTGAAGTCAAAGTGTGAAGTTTAATAAAAACCGGAGGTAGTAAAATTTAAGAGCCAAATTGGTAACACTAAATCGACTGAATCGTCTGCTTTTGCTAAAATTTATGAAAGTCTGGGTGAAGTGATTGTATTGGCTGATTCTGTTGATTTATGAAAAAAGATACTTAAAATATATGTAATCAATAAAAAAATTACATGAAGAATTAGCTAAAATGGTCCTTTAGAGTAATTTTAAGACAATACAACCATAAAAGTAGCTCCAACCATATTCTTCTTATTATTACACAAACGAGCTCTAAATAATAAAAATATAAAACACTTATAGAGGCCGTTTGACAACACTTTTTTTCGACTTATCAGGCTTATCAACCAACTTTTCACCAAACACGTAATTTTTCATTTCACGCGCTGAATTGTGTAATAAGCAGAAAAAGTAACATTGGAGTTACTTTTCTGGCCGTATTGACTGAAGTTAAGGTAGATGACAATTTTTTCTATTTTTACATGTAATTTCTTCTTTATTTTGTTAATAACATACACTCCCTCCGTATTTTTTTTTGCTTGCTACACTTTTCAATTTTGGATGTATTAAAAAATTTGCTACATTTTCCTTTTTTTGATAAGTTTTTCGTTTAAAAAAATACTACCTCCGTCCTCTTAAGTTTGGGACAAGAGAAGATGACACGGTTATTAATAAAAGTGAGTTTGTGTGGTTGATATTGGATTGATAAAGTAAGAATAAAGTAGAAATGATTTAGGGCCCGTTTGTTATGGTGTAAAGTAAACACTTTGCATGCAAAGTGTGGGGATGTAAACGTTTTACACTGTTTGTTTTAACAATTTGATGTAAATTGTATGACACTTTTTAAACAACACTTTACACTGTACCGTGTAAAATATTTCACGTAGGGGGAGGGTGGTAAACTAGTTTACATCCATTAATAGATCAGAATAAATATAACGAATTACATATTATTCAACTGTACCGACCTTCGAAGATGGAATGCGGCGGCAAGCAAAAATCGTTTTTCATCAAATCTCTTTATCCATCTGTGCTGTTCTACAGCCTACAGCCTACACATGCTGTTTAGTTTTTTAGAAACCTACCTCTTTGACATAAACTGAGAAAGCTTCGTCGACAAATATATATATATATATATATATATATATATATATATATATATATATATATATATATATATAGGGATGAGTTCTAATGAGAACAACTCTTATTGTGAGAAATGAGAACAAATTCTAGCTCTTGATCTGGTGAAACGGACGTTCGTTATTTGGAAGGTGCAGAATAAAATCGTACACCATATCACACACATAAACATTTGGCATGGTAATTTGATGATGCGTGGCATAGCTAAAGGCTAAAAAGGTCAAAAGAAGGAGTTTATCACTTACGTAACATTAGGAAGAGATAAAATTAAATGTCAAATCATATAAAATGTTTTTTTTTTAAATTGATTTAACTTCTTAAATTATAATCTGTTTTTAACAAAAATTATATCAAATTAAATAACTTTTTATTACCTTTCATATGAGACCTATATGTCATATATAATTTTGTTTCAAACAAATAAGTATAATATGTATACAATAAACCACACGAAACGTCTCCAGCTACCATATGCACAAGAATATATATCTAGCACACAAACACAAATATCTAATGCACAAGAATTAATATCTCACACACAATATGTGTAAGAAAAACTAAAGCAAGTATCTTAAGCACAAAATCTAATATCTAATGCACAAAGAACATTATCTGACACACACAACAATGAAAAGATAGATAATATCTAATGCATTAGGATTTCACACAACATAAACTAATATATAACACACAAGAATCAATATCTTATGCACAATAGGCAAAGACTTCCCAAAACCAGTACCTAACATAAAATATATATAATCACAGTAAGTATTTACCGCACAAGAATCAAAATTTCATAAACAACAACCAATATTTAAAGCACATGAACTGACCATCTTACTATTAGCTAGAATATAACACACTACAATTGGTATTTGATGCAAACTAAATGAATAGAAAATAAATTACAATTTAATGGAGAACTTTAATGAAAAGAAAATAATATATTGTTTCTAAATACATGGGCAACTGAATTGACGTAAGTGATCAAATTAAAAATTAATATAATATATGCAAAGTATTGTTTCCCTTACTAAAAATGTGGAACGTGGAACATGGAAAGCATTAACTGCAAGATCGGTTGGCTAACAAAGAATAATACAAAAATGCCCTCTAATGCCATTTAGTTAATCGCAGATCGGTATATATTTTGGAGGGTGAGGATTTGTTCTCACTTCTCACATTAAGGGGTGTTCTCATTTGAACCAAAATATATATATATATATATATATATATATATATATATATATATATATATATATATATACACACACATGGAAATCCTATTCTTCTGATATATAAAGTGAAAATGTTTCGTTGATACTCCGTATATATGCAGTGTTGAGTGCTTGGTTTTTTAATTTTTTGTGATGGTTATACTACGTATAATAAGTATATATATGTAGGACAAATGTTCAGGTCAGAAGTTCTTGACCAGAACCGCTGTCCAGACCGCGGCGTTTGGCCGCCTTCCGGGTGGAATTTTTTGATGAAATTTTTGTCACATGTTCTCCATCAAGTCTAGTTTATCCACACAAAAATTCAGCCAAAATTCAATCGGGAAGGTCGTCAAATAATTTTTGCAAGTTAACTGGTCCAGAATATGTATTTTCCGGACCAGTTAACTTGCAAAAATCATTTGACGAGCTTCCCGATTGATGTTTTGGCTGAATTTTTTTGTGGCTAA